CACTGACTGTAAGGGACGGACACATTCAAACACATCACCACCACTCACACAGATAACTTCTTGTCCAGGCTGTGAAAACAACAGAAATCTTGCATTTTACAGAAAAGAATCAAGCTTTTGTGTTTTGTTTTGTTGTAATAAAAGAACAACAGCACCATTATGTAAAGAAACTGGCCTTTAAAGGCTAAATATTCTGATATATTGATGAGCAGGATTGATGCTGGTTAAAAATATTTCACTCAGTAAAATTGGAAAATAACATTGTTATATAATAAGACATTTCTGTCCTCTGAGGACATCAGAGAACCTTTGTTTTAAAGTGAGGCTAAAGGGTTAAATTATTTCCATCTATTCGGTCGGTGTGTTACAGTTTAAAGTACAGTATGTCCCGGTGTTGTTCCTACTGTCTCCATGAATCCTTACCTTCCCCACTCCAGTGCTGCCGGTGAAGAGTACAGACCGCTGCACAGATAACAGTTTCTCCATCAGGTAGCCGTAGCGGACGGTGTCTGTGGTGGGGACCAGCGTCTCAAAGAAGGGCTGCTCCCTGTTGTATTTGAATGAAGGGATGATGTTGTCCCATGGCTCCAGACGCTTCTGGTTGAAGTTCATATACGCACTCCACAAGGTGCCATGCTTCGGGAGCTACGTGGCACACATAAACGCACATTAATTGACACACATGAAACTGGGCAAATATAGTGTAATGACCAAACAACCTCCTTAGAAAACAGGCATTGAAGACACTTGCTTTACTCTGCTGTTGACTGTAGTCTCTGTAGCCCTGCGGCATTTGTTTCCCTGAATGCTGCCGTTACTGATGTGTGAGCATGCGTGTGCCTTTTGTGTTACATCAAGCTAACAGCTGGGAGTTGGCTGCACGGCCTTCATCTCATTGTAAACACAACAACATCCACACAATCTGTTCTCTGACCTAAATAATATTGAAATTCCCAAATACACACAACACCACAAAAAACAACAACATCATCAGCTCCTTATGCACACAGAGATGAACAGGATGTGGAAGCGTGTGAGATGTTCCAGATGATACTCACTTACATGCTAATCCACCTTCAGGTAAGTGAGTCCTGTTCCTCAACTCAATCATCTGCCACGACTACCAACCACGACAAACCTCTCAAACAATTCACTTTCCATTTCTTGTTAGGCTAAAGAACTCATAACGTCAGCCCCCACCTTCCTCCATTGTATTATACTGAAGAGCCTGGAGAAGATGCTGCTGAACATCATTCTGCCAGTTGTCGCCCTACGACGCTGTGGACTGGATTCATCAGGCAACTTTGTTAGGATCCTCTTTATGGATGTTCAAAGGCATCTTATGATCCATCTCAAGTGTAACCTCTCTGCTCTGGACTCTCACCACACAGCTGCACACTTCACCCAGTGGTGCAAAGACAACCATCTTCACCTCAATGTCAGCAAGACAAAGAAAATCACAATGGGTCCCTCCTCACCTCAGCATTCCATCATCATCATCAATAACCAGACAGTTGACAACCTCAAATGCCTCGGAGTGACACTGCACAGTAGACTCAGCTCCGACCAGCACACTGACGACAGATAGAAAAGGAGCCACCAAAGACTGTCAGTCAAGTGTTAACTAAGTTGCCACCTCCACCTGTTGTTGTATCAGACCATCATTCATTCCAATCTACCGATCCACCTACTGGTCAACCTCAGCTCTATTTAGCAGGGCCTGAATGCAGCTGAGTGTGTGCTGTTGTCGGCATTGTTGACTGACATCTACAGTGCTGTGGAGATGAATTAGCCCTCGGGGACAATAAAGCCTGGAGCCTATTCTATAACGACCAATCCATAATTCTACAAAGCTGGCAAAGTACAATAGTGATATGCAAAAATGTCAGTGAGTGACCGGCATTTATGTATTATGATACTTGACCTTATAAATTGTTTGATTATGAATATATCTGAGTGCTTAAAGCTATATATATATACAGTACTTTAAGCAGATTATAATACATTATAAGTAGGTTTAAAATACATTATCGACATGCGTTACCAAAAATGCTTTGATTGACAGAGTTTTAACAGCGACACTGGACATGATTTTCAGTGTGATATGAATAATTCCAAAACCCCTCCATCCTGTAAACCCGTATGTGTCTGTATCTGTGGGTGTGTGCACAGGTATATCTACCTCAGCATTGCTGCTGCCTTCAAACTGCTCTCGAATGAAGGTGTCAAAAGCATCCCAGTGAGAAGTGGTCAGGTTTCCTCCGACTGCCCACAGGTAGCAGAATATGAAGGTGTGACATAATATGCTGTTGAGGTGCTTGGACTCCTGCACGAACACACACAGACAGATAGAGAAAGGGAAGAAAGTGTGTGGTAATAAGTAGTAGAACGGTGTGGTTCTAATTATGTGTAACCTTTATTTACTGTAGGCATGTGTGTGGTCCACTCTATATGTATCTATATATAGGTCTATCTATATTCATAAAGTATTAGTGTTGTGTGTGGTTTGAGCAGATGCTGATCTTATCATCTGACCTTGCCCAAAACAAAACTGAATTTTGTTATTAAAGTGCTAAGTTATGGTGCACTGATAGACGAGGTCCTGTGTGGCACCATGGAGAGAACTGAAACAGACTAAAGTGAGAGTTAAATCTTGTGTTTAATGTACCATTTGAAGGTCTGGCCCCCCTTTGCCCAGCAGCAGTGCCTCCAACAGGGAGCACAGAGTGGTCACTTTACTGATGTCCACCTGTGGAACGGCCTGGGTACAATACTTCAGAACGAACTGAAGACCTTTCTCCACGTATTGCTCAAACAGCTCCAGCAGGTATGTTCTCACTGGGCCTGGGAGCTGTAGAGACAGCATGGAGTGAAGAGATGGATGCAGTAAGAGGAGAGTAAGCTGGTGCAGTGATCTTTACTTTCATCTAGAGTACATAACCACTGAGGCCACCTGGTTAGTTTGACTTAGAGTAATAGAGTTCGACATGTTGGGAAAACGCACCGCTAAAGCTCACTGGCCTTCCTTACCTCCGAACAGAGCAAGGCTCGCTTTAACGCAAAGCTGAACTCAATGTCTGGCAGTAGATTCAAATGTAAAGGCCAGACATGAGAGTGGTAATAATCTCCTCATCTATGAGCAAGAAATGGGATGAGCGGACTTCAAACATGTGCTGAACTATTCTTTGAGCAGGTGCTGAATAAACAAGTGTTAGACAGAGAAGACAGCCAATGCCCTCCCTGTCCCCGAGAGACACACTCCCTCAGTTAGAATATCTCAGTGGAAATCAATTCAAAACTAATTAAAAACTCTAATAAACTCTAACTCTAACAAATCCACACATGTGTTTGTGCAATCAAAGCTATCCCAGACAAACGCAGAAGGTCACTTTCACCAAAATATGTTGCTTTTTAAAAAAAAGTATCGTAATGAAGAGGTTTAAGAACTCAAAGGTGGGAGATAAATGTGGAGAGAGAATAGGAAAGCAGGCACAAGAACATGTGACAGATGTTCAGATAAATACAATGTCAACAAACAGACTCATCTCAGTTAATTAGACATTAGCAGAGAGAGAGAGAGAGAGTCTAACGTTCAGGGGAGAGATGATCCACTCTCACTGTGGTGTTAAGTCTTCCTAAAAGGTCAGGGCTTTGATGTGATGTGCTGTCATGAACTGTAATGCTGAAGCTTAAGTTCTTCTCCTTGTAATGCCTGATAAAGCACATAAACATTCATATACCAGTGCACTAACAGTCACAGTCTCACAACACAACATTACATTAGATCCTCAATTACAATAAGCATGATTTTGCTTTTAGCCACTTCCAAAAGACATTTTGCAATTTCAAATAGTGTTATAAAGATGACAGAGATACAACATGTACAACCTTGGCTCCGAGACCACTGATCCACGTCTGGACATAGGGCATCCACTTGAGCTCATCTGGGTCGATATAAACCGTCCCACAGCGGCTGACAGTGGCTGGAGAAGCTACAGCCAAGTCCTGGACCTGAGAAACACAGTTAAAGAAAGATAATGATAAGATAATCTAGGACCATGTATATATTCACTGAAACAGAAAGCATCAAACTCGTATTCAAGCTCCAGTTGTTTATTCTTGGACCTGTCTTTGACACTATAAAAATAGAAAACTGCTTATTGAATGGACAGAACATGAAACTCTCCATTCACTGAGGTCAGCTCTAACCTCAAACACCATATGGACGGATGGTGTAAGTTTGATTCGCTCGCCGTTAGCCAGACAGAGCATCTTGTTGTCATCCAGCACTGTGTTCATGTTCTCAATCCATAGGGCGTCGACCGGCCCGTCGCAAACCACCCACTTGTGGGCAGCACTCGTGTCGCTGACCGCATCACGGACACTCAGCGCCATCAGTCCGTCACGCCACTCGAGTGTTACTGTGTTAACCTGAAGGGTTGAGGAGGATAATGGATGAATGTAGAGAGAGGAGTAAAGAAGCTGTTGTGTATTTATTGTTCTATTGTCTGCCGTACCTCTCCGTAGAGCTCTCCCTTTGTGACAGATTTGGGGTTGAGAACATAGGTCTTGACATGTTGATAGAAAGGGTTGTTAGCCGCGTGCCCTGTGCCGTGGAGGGTCTCCAGTGCGTCTGCCAGGACACTGTAGACGGTGGTCTTACCTCCACCAGTAGGCCCGACCAACATGACACCATGACGCACTAAAATGGTCTCATACAACTGCATCACCTGCTCGTAGAAAAAGAAGAGGAAAGGAGGAATGAGGGCTGGTTTTGAAGACGACTGGCCATAATCTATCATTTTCATTATTGGTAACATAAGATAATACAAAGACAAAGAATTTAACCTGTGAACAGCTGTTGCCTGTGTGGCCAAAGCTTGATTTCTCTGTGCCATGGACTTAACATGTTGTCAAATTATTAGATTATTATAAAACATATATTCAAGCTATCGTGCACCGGCCTAACTATTGTTCTGTTAACGATGACCTGCTCTACCTGTTGATCCACAGCCGCTTCATGTTCAGAAGAACAGAGAATAATACCGGCCGAATCTTTTAAAATGTACATACTTCATGTGAAGTGTTTTACAGAAGTAAAAATATTCATAAGGAAATTAAAAACGAGTTAATTAAGGAACACCACTGTCCCCCACTGTACCTTCTTGGTCATGCTAGCCAGTGGCTGCAGGTTTCTCTTCACCAGAGACTCCAGGATAGCGGAGTGTAGCTCACCGTAGTCACGCTCAGGAACACTCACACCGGGGAAGAGGTCAGACAGGATACCACTGGAGGGGTTGTTGGCATAATACAAACACACATAAGGTTTTCACATATAACAACGTCAAAAAAAAATCATTTTCTCATTTCTTAATTGTGCAGCAGGCTGGTGTAATATGTGAATGTCGTGTCCTTGGAGCAGCAGAGGTAAGATGTGTGAGAGGCATACCCAAACAGCACAGCATCATCAGTGAGCAACTTGGGCAGGTTGGAATCCCTCAGGGCTCTCATCAGAACCACCTCCTCACTGAGGGGGGGGTGTTCTCTCTTTAGAGGCCTAAGAACAGACACATCCATTGTGTTACTGTATACATCAAGCATCAAGTCATTGCCATTTTACAAATACTTGTTACGCAATATGACTAGCTATATTTGATTGACAATCCTAAAATGGTGCTGTGCCTTTTTTTGCTTTATCCTGGAGTTATGTTCTTTAGGTCCTAACGCCTGTTCACTCGTTTGTTTAGTCTTTATTTTCTTCATGTTGATCATAAGGCAGAACAATCCTCAGTTAACATGCTGTTCACTACAAACTACGTCAGTTTCAAATGCTCAAAATGCTTTTTATTATTCAAACAAATATCAATAATATTTGAACAATTATCTTATCGGCATGAATGGGTATCGACTCTTACAAATATAGAGGCAATGAAGACTGTTAAAAACAAAGTAAAACAATCAGAGACATTAGAGATGAATGAATGTGTGCTGACTGAGGAACACGCAGACTCACAGAAGTAATACGTGAGCAAAGACAGACAATGCATCACAAGCCAATCACAGTTCCCTGAGCTCCAGCTAATAACCAACCGGCAGATTAAGCATGACTTTTACTACAAGTGGTCGAGAACATCCATTCAAATCGAGTTGAAACGAGGTTCTTTGTGCATCTTACAGCTGAATCAGGAGCTGCTCAGTTCTAGGACAGCAAACCTCCAAGAGACCTGAGTGCACTGATTGATTTGCAGCCTTTAATTGTGCAAACAGGCAAACATTTTGACACGACTGTGTCTTCATCAGAGTCAAAATGAGTCGTTTTCACTCTGATTAAAGTGAATGATTTGTTTGTCTCTATATGAATGCACACGTGTGTCAGTGTATGTGTGAGTGTGATGCTCTCTGACCCAGCCATGACCAGGACGGACTTGACGGCTCTCATGCCAAAGTCGTAGTGGTCCTGCTGGGACAGCTGCTCAGAGCACAGCTTGTACATCTGGGTCATTTTCCTCGCTAGGACCGTACTGGACTCAAATCCCTCTGAGTACAGAACCACCTGGAGGGAGGGAGAGAAACAAGGGAATGATAAAAGACATGACGCGAAAATAAGCAAGCAAATACAATGAGGCACACGCAGAGAGCCTGTTACCTCAGCAATGAGTGCGTAGTTGGGCACCATCATGGCTATGGGTCTGAAGAGAGCTTTAAGGTTGTCAGGTAGCTCCGTTCTTCCAGCACAGCCTGGGTTCATGGTGATGAATGCAGCACACGTCCTCACCACCTTGATCTCCCGGCCTTCAAATTGAAACCTTGACAGCTGCGTAACACAGAGTTGAGTGAAATGCTCTCGTTCATGAGCCAGTGTGAAGTCTTACCCACTGAGCCTCACGGTGTGCTCAGAGAACACAGATGTCTGTGTCTGAAAAACTGCCTTAACTGATACATCAATATTATTCCCCTCTTTCGCCAAGTTCAGCCCTGGTCATCGCTGAACAATACTTATTCATTATCAGAGTTTAACCCTTTAAATACCAGTACGTTTACATAAAAAAAACACATAAATGTGATTATTTATAACAGCAGGGTGTTCACACTGCTAGAGTGGAATCAAGTACCTCAACGTCAAGTGAATGACTGAGATTTGTAAAGTTTATCTTTTGGTGTTTTGTGAGAATTTTAGGAAAGCAGAACAATGTTCTAAATTCTTCTCCATATAAGGTATGCAGTGTCTTAACAAAGTGGTGTGTGTGTGTGTGTGTGTGTGTGTGTGTACCTTATCAGCTTTGGCGTTTCGTATGGTTGTGAGTTGCTGAGCGATGACAGACAACACTTCAATGTCAATTCGGTTAAATTCGTCAAAACAACACCAAGCACCCGACTGAGCCAGACCGCTAAAGAAGCACCCCGTCGTCTGGAGACAAAGAAGAAGAGAAACAGATTACAGCTGAAGTTTGGGGGTTTATAAAATACAGATATAGTTGTATATATAAGTAAAGGATATTACTAATATATGCAATATCAGCATTGTGTATGTTTGTCAACTGATCTTAATGAATGAAAACTGGCTGATGTAAACAAACTGTAAAAGAAGAAACAGAAACAATAACTTGTATTAAAAGACCTTCTCTCAATGTGAACATTATAGCAGATTACAATCTTGGGATGTAATCTTGATGAGGCATCCCTTTTATTTACATATGAAACACTGAATGTGCCTTTTACTGGATTGTTAATGCAATGAAAACACACAGCCAGATACAGTATGATACCTATTATCATACTATCGCATGCAACTGTCTTGTGTTTCTCAAACACCTACTGTTGGGACAGGCAGACATTAGAGCATCATTTTAAGAACATAGAGGAAAGGATTGAAACTGGTTTAAGGTAATCCTTGAGAAGCACACAAGGCTCTGTACAGAGTATCTGTTAAATGGCACTTTACTGCTTTTGCAATAGTGCCATCTAGTGGTACCACTTAGCAGGTGCAGTCAGAGTGAGTTAAGCCTTCCTGAGCTAATTAAAGAAGTAAAGGAACAAATAATTCAGAACTGAGTGCACCAACAAGCAAAGAAGGGAAACAGAAGGAGTAATAAAAAGGATGTGGGTTACAGATGAATACACTTCATGGCTGACCTTGTAGTCAAGTCCATCAGAGCAGTTGAAGACCACACACTGTATCCCCAGGGCCTTAGCCAGGTCCTTGGTGGTCTCTGTTTTGCCCGTACCTGCTGGCCCGGCTGGTGCTCCTCCAAGGTCTAACTGGAGAGCCCCCATCAGACACAAATAACAACGATCCTGAGCAGCGTGAGAGATAAAAGACAGCTTGAGTAACAGTGACACACACAGTATGCAGTGTTTCTGTGTCACATGTCAGCTCTACCGACGAGAGGACACACATGCTATAGGCTGCACTATTAGCTCTGCTTGGTTGTTTGTGTCTTTTCCATACGGGTCTGTGGCTTCACAAACAATCTGAATGAAGTAAAATGATCTTTATGATGCTTGTGTAACTGAGGATAAGATATGTGTTCCCAGTCTGACCTCACTGCAGTAGCATTCAACCCGATGCATGAGAAGGTTTCTGTGTTATGCAGCGTTAAATGAATGTTGGGACAGAATACGTCATGTGTGTCTCAGTATCAAAGTGTATGTGTTACCGTGAGTGGTGTTATAACTAGTCTAGGACAGGCTCCCAGGTATTCATAGCCATACGTGTAGGTGGACACGGCCATTTTGGCTACACAATTGTCCAGGTCCATGTCCCAGTAGTAGCGTAACTGTTTCTGCCATTCAAAGTTACACCTGGTGTCCACCTGAAATGGAGGACTGAAGTTACTTTAAGGCAGTGAGTTGTTATAAACATTTTCTCATCACCTGAAAAATCCTCCTGCACCTTCCATACAAAGCCAAGGACAGACATTGATTTAAGCTGGTTGGTGTTTCTGTGTTGGTTTGTCCTATTGTACCTTCTGGCGGACTAGATCTGTGACAATGTCTCTGGCATGGGCGTCGATGGTGATGAGGGCAGTGATGATATTACGGTGTAAAGCAGGCAGCCGTCCTCGTACCAATGCCACCAGAGCATTCAGCCTCTGGAATACACACAGACACGCGTAGTATTCATACTTTTAAGCTGAAAAGTTAAATGAAATTGGGCAAACAAAAGTGATTTGTTTGAGGAAAAGGCAAGCAGTAGTGTTGATATGTGTGGTTTACATCAAAGTTAGTCAGTTCAAATTCCTGCAGGGCAGCAAAGTGGTCATGGTCTCCATCTAGGCAAGCATCCATGTCCTTGCACCACATCATCTGGGAGATGGTCAGCACCACCTGGTGGACACACATAAACTGAAGTTAGATCACAGCATAAGCACAAAGCATCAGCTGAACTGATAGAAAGGACCAGTGTGTAGCATTGGAGTGGGACCTCTTCATGGAGCCCGCTGTGCTGTAAGGCAGTAGTGTTTCAACAGTAGTCCGAAAGTCCAGTGTTTGAAAGAGAGGAGTGAGCGAATCTGTAACCCCACCGTGAGATGCCACTAAATCCTACGCACTGTCCCTTTAATATCTCGGTTAGCTCCTGAAAGTAAGTTAAAGGAAAAATCACCACAATTCTAATGGTGAGGAAGATAATATATCTGTAAAAGTGAATTTATTGGTAACTTTGCGTCACAATGATTTTATATTTTTGCAATACAAACCCAAGGAGAGTTATACTCTAAGAACTACAGCACAAATGTCTATTACTTAAACAATATAAAAAGCACTGATCCATGTAATGTCTGCGTGTGTGTACCTGCGATGGATGTCCAGCCACCACCCATTCCTCTCTAGACTTCACCTGGTAGTCAGCAATGGCAGCCTTGCTGAGGCGTCGCAGTGAGGAGAACATCGCCTCCTCCACCTTGCAAAGCCAATCCTCCACGTTGCCTTGTGCCTTAAGACCTTTAGTCAAACCCACCTGAGCTTACACACAGGACAACAAGGTCAGTTGCAGAGCAGTAAAAAATTTAGCAGGACAAGACCAGTCACATTCTTACATTCCCAAACCAACAAATTCTTAACAAATGTGTAGTTTCTAAAACAATACTATATCATAAATTACATTTGTCCAGTTTTTGCCTTAATTACTGCTCACACAAGTTTTGGCACAATTTGGGAACTTGATTGAAGATGGCTGACAGGGTTAAATATTGTTATAGAACACAGAGCACATGAATGTATTTCTGTTAACTCGTGCTCTCAGCAAGGACTGAAACAAGATAATAACAGATTATATAACAGAGCATGATGGCCAACGGTGTTAAGGTTGCTCAAACCTTCTCTCCCTCGGGGGACACCATGTTCACGATGTCTTTGCTGTAGTCCGTCTCCTGTATTCCAACATCCAGCACATTTTCTGTATCGGTCCCAGAAGATTCGGGCAGTAAAGCAAACTCTAGCCGTGTAATGGCATCAAAACACTTCCTAAGGTGGGGCTGCACTGCTTGGGGGTTTCTTGTCTGGGCCAAGATCTTTATCAGCTCGTCATTAGATAAGAAGTAGAACCTGCGAGGGTAGAGGACTTATCAGAGCATTTAACACAACACACCAGGATCCAGAACATGGTGTTTATCACCGTGTTCACTGGGAACAGATGTTTAGAGCAACAACTGGTAACCTGTCCAGAGAGAACAGGCAGAGAATCACACTGTATATATTATAGTCATGTTCAAAATGTAGTTTGTGCACGGGGAACAATAAGCAGGAAAGGGAAGAAAAAACATAGGATGACAAAAAACAGAATGTGGAGTATGATGTAAAAGCCCCGTTCTATGTAACAAACCAAGTGTGTGTGCGTGTGTACCTGGGGAAGATCACTCTCTTGGACTCCAGGTAGTTTTCCAGACACTTCTGTATCTCATCCAAGAGAGTGTTGTTGTGTTGAAAAGTCTCCAACAGATCTGCATAGCATGAACAGAGTACATTGTCGTGTGAATCTGTCTGCCCTTCCACATGTACATGTCTTCTTGTCTTATTTTTCCATCAAACCTACGAGGCTGTGTGGCAACTTGAAGCGCATTAGGCCTCAGTTTGACCTTTGCCATGATCTCCTTCCAAGACTTGTCCACCTTGAAGAACATCTTGGACTGAGCAGGCAGCTGCCTCTCGATGTCTGGGGCCAAGAAGATACTCTCCAGATAAAGCCAGTTCCTTTGGCATGTAAGCCACTCATCCTGGCAAGGATGGCAGGAGAGGAGAGCGAGGAGAAGGAGAGAGAGGGGCAGAGGGTTAAAACAATGTGAGCAGAAGAAAGATCATTGAAGAGGTAAAGGCCAATCATGATATGTACTCGTAATCCTGTTAGTATTGCCTTACATAAACCAGAATATAGCACTCATTAAATATAACCAAAGCAAAAGAACGTTGTCATCTCGTTTGCAGCCACTAGGGAGTGCTACTGTGTAACATTTGAGACCAAATTCGAAGTCACAATTTGCATTTTGCATTGAGAGAAGCCGAGAGAAGAGTCACTAGGAGCCAAACGAAAGATCACTATGTTCCATTCTTTTAAAAGCGTTACCAGTGTTTGGTTGAAGTGGGTCAGCTTTCCCAGCAAAATGTTCACCACATTTATGATGGGAGCTACGTAGCGAGAAGAGGCCACCCAGCCTAGAGAGATGATGCTGTCATCCAGGAGTACCTTCACAGTAAAACCAACATGAAAACACACACAATTAGTACTGAAACACTACTAGTGCGCTACAAAAGACTGTGTGCGGCATGTTACCACCTGGATATCATCCGTGCCTCCCAAGATGGAGCCGTCTTTAGATTCCCCGTGAGACAGCACAGTGAACGCCGTGTTCCACCAAACCTCCTTCACCTACATGGCTCATTGAGGGCAGAGGGTAAAGGGTTAAGTTAAAGTATCAAACCTGAATAGTAGACAACTCCAGACCAGAGCTGCACAGTAGCAGCAAGGATCAATAGAGAACAAAACCTGGTGATTGATTTTAATTGGCTATTATCAATGCCAGCTTCTCCAATGTCCACTTACTCCAAATCACACCATGTTGCAACCATCAGCTCATAACACGCCACCAGGCACACGCCACCAGGCACTAGCCATAAAATCCTCAAAAGTTACGAGGACACACCCACTGCACATAGGGTCACAAGTGTTAATTATAAAAACATATGGATTAAGCTTTATATGATACTAAAGAGCATCTTTGCAAATGTACAAATAGCTGAATTCTCTGTATGCGAAGATGCAATTGCTGAGTCATTCACTATGAGTCATCACACTGGCTGTGTGTGCATCAAAATCTCATGATTAAAATCAAATCATATTCAGCAGACTGGAAGGTAGAGAGTACACTTCTATTGCACATATTCAGGTAGTTGGAAGGTAGTTCCCTTTCCACGCACCTTTGTATAAATGGACTTCACTGACGCCTCTCCTGAAGCCTGCCCTGACACCTACAAGTCAAGGGATGTGTTAGTCCTGTTTGTCCAGGCTAGATGAGATACACAGGCAAGATATCAAGTACAAGCAGCTTGTGTGCTTCTATCCTTGACCTCAGAAACACTACCGCTTTCTTCCACAGCGACCGCCAAAGTGAACAAGAAATGAAAGTTCCTGGTAATAGTTTTAATCGTCAGCAACAACCAAAGCAAGAGAAGGTCATGATGTAGCCTTGAAGCACGTGTTACCTCCTGTATCTTCAGGCCATAGGAGAAGACGTTGAGCGTCTCCACAGCAGCCAAGGTAAGCTGGTTCCTGTTCAGAGAGATCCCCACAACAGACTCCAGCATCTTCCAGTGCTCTGGCTTCACACTTGGGTTACAGAGATCAGTGATCACCGGCAGCTGAAGGAGAACACATGAATACCATTTAGATAGAGAAGTAAAGCTGCAGTCAAGAACCAATTCAATTACTGCAGTATATATTTTACTATGACATCATTTCAAAAAGATTTTTGTGATAACATTCATTTTGTTTTTTATGCCACACACACATCAGTCACAACAAACACTCTGTCCTACCAACCCTCTGTTTGGCGACTTCCACCTTCTCCTTAAGAGTTGTCAGTACGTTGTTGCTCGACAGGCCCTCTTCCAGCCGGTTGATGTATTTGCTATATGTTGTGACCTGTGAGCTGATCTGCTCCAGGTCCAGCTGCTCAAGTGTGCTCTGGGGATGGGTGAATATGGAAGGACACAGTCAAAGGTAAAAGAGAGGAAGAGCTGTTGACATGTGTCTGTGCATATGTGTGTCCAGGCCTTCAGATACAGTGTGTTGAGTACAACTCACCTGCCTCCATCCATCTGACAAACAGTCCCATTTCTCTAGAGAGTCCCACAGCAGCTGTTTCAGCCTAAACTCTGCAATTAGCTCTTCCAGGGTGTCAAAGTTGGTGACCTCCACCTGTATGCATCAGAAGGTAGAGGGTGGGAACTCATTTGGGTCAATTGGCTTGTTTGCCGGTAAAGTTAAAATAAAATGACAGTTTCTGCTTTAGACGCAGTCTTTCAAAACAAAATAAAATCGTTTTGACTTGACTTGGGACATGTTTTTTTGCTAGAATCATTTCGAATGAAGGATCTTAAAAATGACAGCACCTTCAATTTCTCCTGGTAGGAGGTGTAGGCGTGGGCCTGGGCCTGCAGCTTGTCTATGGACATCTGGATGCCTTCCAGCAGCAGATGCACTTGGGAGGAATCTGCATTGATGTCAAGGAGTTGTGGATCCTACGCATGAGAAAGCACAAACAAGTAATAAATCAACAACATATTGACACACCTTGAGTAAACCAAACTATGGTTAATAGAAACAGGATTAAAACGTATCCACGTACAAGTGACTTAAGCTTGGTTTGGATGACCTCACGGTTCAGCTCCTTGATGTCCTTCTGCAGGGAGCTGTGCAGCTTGTCAACGATGGAGCCCCTCTCCAGTAATGCATGACTGATGATGCAGTACAGCTCGTTAATGGAGGGTTGCAAGGTGGCAAAAACAAGCAGATCCTCAGTTGGCAGCGGAACTGAGTACACGTTAATCAGACTGTACATCTGACATAATGTCTCCTGTTCCGCTTCAAGCACCGAAATCTGTTAAAAGGGAGAAAAAGAAAGTGTAGTAGAATAAAGTCAAATAGGAGAAGAGGTGAGAAGATGGGACAGAAGAGTAGAGAGGATACTTGGTTGATGAGTATATCATTTAAAATGAACTATCATGATTTTGCTAAAAACACTAGAAACTGCTTTTAATGTTAAATGTGTGTCTTACCCTCTCCCAAATCTCATCCAAGAATGTGAGGGAGTTGGCTAACTCAGCCGTGGTGGAGGGACTGGACTCTAGTTCATACTTGACTTCACAAACCTCGGCAATGACAGCATCTAGCTTCACCCTAGCCTGCTGGGTAAGCATCTGGTGGATGACCTGGAGCAGAGATTCAGAGCACAACAATGATTCCGACATGCCTTCAAGAGCTTTGCAGTATCAGTATTTGAATATCAGAAAGTATTTTCTCCCAGGGTCTTCACTCAGCGAGGCCCTGGACCTCGCTTATGTTTTCACTTCAGTGAGATTGTATCAATACAGAATGGCATCACTGCCCCTCTGTTTGAATCACTTGTTCATCATGATCTAAAGCTCCATAACCCTTTAACCATAAACTGATGCGTTGTATGTGTTTGCACATTGCTCGTCCTCACCTCCAGACAGCGGAGCGAGGAAGACGCAAGCTTTTCTTTGAGCAGTGTTTTGTCCACAAGCAGTGAGCCAAGACGCCTTTTCTGTGGGATGGCTGCGGCCTCCTTAAGCTCACTGTGGTATAACTCCAGCGCTTTTCCAAAAAAGGACACATCTGTGAGATAAAGCAGTCAACATCCAACGGTTTAAAGAACTGTGCTGTTTTGCATGCTTTACTTCCCAACTACAATTTGTGTTTGTTTGTTTGCTGAATGTCTGCAGTTGTTTTATTGCTGTGACCAAGTCAAGTCTGATTTACAAGATGCAAATATGTAAATATGTCCACATTTACATCATATGGGAAATGTATAACATTGTTTTCCTTGCTGGAACAGATTAGACACTGTGACAATCTAGAGTAAATCTTTGGAAACTACTTCCTCATCTGCCATCATCCCTCTTCCTTCTTTAACAGTCTCAAAGGTGCACAACACAGCGCTCTGTATCCCCGACTAAGATGGACGTATAGAGAAACATACAGTGACCAGAGTGTTATGTATCAATATGTTATGCTATAACGACAACAGTTTTCCATACAGATCATTATTTACACATACCTACACTTTTGTAGGAAAATGGAAAGATTTGAAACATGCACAACTAAAAGATGCAAGCACTGGTCCCTCAATGAAGAAAACCAACTGAAATGGATGGGTGTAGCAGGGTTTCCTGTTCTGAAAGCAATGCTTATGAATATAATACGCATTTGTAATCTTGCCTCTGCAAGTTGGCAAAATACGCACAGCAGATTTAGTTGTGCATCCCTATGGTGCATAATGACAATAAATGATCCTTGAAGTAGATTTTTGATTGTAAAAAGTCTCCTCAAACCTCTGACATGCTTTGTAAAATGGACCTGTTGTTTAAAGACCAGAGAATATACAAGAGGTACCCTGTGTAGGCACAGACCCGAGACATGTAGTGTGGCTCCTACGCACTGTTTTATGAATGAGAACCCAGCTCTTTGTGTTGGATGTGGGATCTGTAACAAAAACAATGTTGATGTAAAGTGCATCACCGTGATCCTTTTGCCGCATTGCATCCAGATCCAGACCCTCGTTCTCTTTATAGAACAGATGAAAACGCTCAAATGTGTGTAAGTACACTTT